AATCCTTTTGCATGATTTGCATTTAAAAAAAACCCGCAAACTCATGCAAAAAAGAATCTCGACAATAAAACTGGAACGCAACCCGGTAACCGGGAGGCATCGTTCCCCCCACCCCAACCCCCCTGCTCACAAGCCTCTCTTTTTTCGTTCAATATATTAAACGGGATATTAATGCAGGGCCTTCCCTATTCTGGACGACAGAAGGTCTACTAAAAGGCAGTCTCTATGGGATGCGACAGCGCCTCCCCCCACCCCAAACTCTTCAAAACGAATTTTCCGGCGAGAGAGGATTTTCCTTTATCCGCGGTTTCCGAGATCCGCGGCCACCTTCCGGCCGCAAGCCTTGTGCCTGAGGCAGCTATGGGGGCCCCACAGACAATTTGCCCAGGTTGAAATCCTTCACAAATTCCAATTCACTTTACGCTCCGATTCAGGCTCCTCGACTCTATTTGTCTGCTAGCTATCCTTTTTAAAAAGGATATCCTTTGTCTGAAATCTTTTTTTCAAACTGCAGTCCTGGGAGAGTTGACCTGGGATCTCGTCTCCGCTCAAGCAAGGGGGGGCTGCCTTCCAAGTAGACCTATGAGGTTTTTACACTCTCGGCCTCTTGTAGTTTTTTAAACCGGTGTTTCCGTGAAAGGAAACACGTCGGAACATCGCTGTTCAGTTCTGAGCCTTTACATCTCTAGGCGGAATGAATCCCCAGTTAATTTTATAGGACTGTAGCCTCTTTAAAAAAAATCCCGAGAAAACCTAGCTTCGGCTCTGGAACCCTGATTCACATTCACTCCGAGTTCACTGCGATTTTTCTCTCCTCCTGCCCGCTTCGGTTCAAAGGGATCCAGAGCCAGCTCTCCTCGCCCCCCCCCACCGCTCCCAGCTGTGCCGTCTCCCAGGCCCTCCCGAGGTTCCTCAAGAAGGCGACTTCAATCCGGAGTCGAATCCGGAGTCCACTTCGACTCAAAGCCCAAGTTCGGTTTGTCCCTTCTCCAGCTGGCGGACACTTTCCAGGAGAAAGAGAGAGAGAGAGTTCTGGACTACACCCCCCATGGTCCACAGCTCCGAGGCTGCGCCCGGAATGATGGGCGTTGTAGTCCGGAAGGCGCCACGCGAGGAGGAGGAGGAGGAGGGGGGCGCGGAACGAGCGGTAAAAAAGGAAGACGGGGAGGGGAAGGTGTGGGGTGATGCAGAATCCGCTCGGCTCATCTCTCCCGGACTTTCCCGCTGCATTAGGTGAAAATCCCAGGCAATTATAGCATTACAAGGAAAGCAGCAAACGCTGGCGTGTTCAAAGGCCGGGGGGATTTTTTTTCCCCTTTTCAAAGGCGGCTTGCGTCGCTCTCAGGCTGCAACGCGCACTCCCAAACACGCGCTCTCCCCCCCCCCCGCCTGCACAAGCAGTGGAGGAACAAGCAGGGAAGCAAATTCATGCTGGTGGCTTCGATAACCCTGTCCCAACCATCTCGTCCTCTGTTGTCCCCTTCTCCTCCTGCCTTCACACTTTCCCAACATCAGGGTCTTTTCCGGGGAGTCTTCTCTTCTCATGAGATGGCCAAAGTCTTGGAGCCTCAGCTTCAGGATCTGTCCTTCCAGTGAGCACTCAGGGTTGATTTCCTTTAGAATGAAAGGAAATTTTTTATTATTATTATTATTATTATTATTATTATTATTATTATTATTATTATTA